ACCCATCTGTCAACTCCTTGGACAGTGACAAAGCTTTCCTTCTATTTTTGATGTATATACAAACCACATGTCCTTCAAAGCTTCGTTACCAGGACGACACCTCCTAGAAAGTGAAGGACGCTGTCTGGTAACAAGACTAATTGGGTACTCATCGTATATCGAATAACGGTCAGTCTTCAACTCTATTGGTTTTAAGTCAAGCCGAAATTATCTCAAAAAAAAAAAAAAAATGTGGAAAGAAGGCCTTAAACTTATATTGTTAAATCCAATGTTTCCCGGTATAATCGGGTATATATACTTTATACTTGCATGCATTATCAAGGGAAATCATCAAAAAAATGTAACCGAAAACAGATTCTTTTTGTTGTACCAGCTATCCAACCCCGATTAGGCGAGACTAATATAAGCCACAGAGCTCATCGAACTGAAAATACAGGAAACGAGCCATTTCGACGGCTTCGGATTAGAGAGAGAAAGAGACTGTTAGCTGATTATGCTATAAGCAGCATGCACAGAGGTGGTTAATGTCGTGCAGGGCATCATTACACGCAGGACAAGGTCAAGACTAGATAGTCTAGGTGGTGATTGGATTCCGAGAACACCGCTCACTGGAAGAAAATTCGAGTAGATGTTGAGGGACTCTTGGTGAATGGTGTTTAAAATCTGCCAGTGCGCATTCCTGTTTAAAGGTTCTGGCAGGTGGTGGTGAATGTAGTCCTTGCAATCGAGTACTCGCTTCATGATGTGCCTAAATGATGGTTCAGCTCCAGGTAAAGGTGTGTTATGGTGCGCCCAACAGATATTGTTTGCACAGCACAGTGTTTAGACGAGTTCGGACTAAATGGAGATGGGGTTAGATATTTAGGCTCTAAGGGGCATGTAAAGCGTGCTGAACATACGTTATGTAGTATGTCGGAGTCAAGTCTGGATAGGTAGGAGTTTAGGGTATTAGGGGCTGGCATGCTAACGGTAGTCCCCAGTACCAGGCAGCCTGTCGAGTGTGACTCCCAGTAACTTTCGGTTTGTGGGGGAGGATTGAGACCGTTCATCATTTTTCATTCTTTGTCATATCCTCCTTTACAATACCAATTAGATTACATAAATTAAACAAAATTTAAAAATCACAACAACATGTGTGCTAATCTGTATTACCGGAATCAGCTCTGCGGTGGTCAGCTTTCAAGTTTGTTAATGGAAAAGTTCATTTAAAAAAATGGTGTGATTTTGCTTTCGTTGTTGTAGTGGTTATAATGTTGGTTAAAAACTGTCATTACGAATTCTAAGGAAAATTTTCATAAATATTGTTATAAGTTATAAATAAAGCCACCTAGAGTGGTGGGTCCTCTGGTCCTGTTTAAATAATCTTTTCGAAAAAAAATTGAAAAGCTATACCCCTGCTATTCATACGGTAAAACTACATACAAACTACAAAAACCGTAATTATAAAACCGAATTTATTCAAACTCAGAATTAGTAGAAACAATAAGAGCGCAGTGTACATACAGATGTACATATTTACTGATTGAAGGATGGAGTTAAATAAGTATTATTTATGCACTGCATATACATACCTATGCAAAGATTATTTGAATCCTTAACTCAATCTTCAAAGATCTTAGAAAAATTTTTTCACAGTTCGCAACTTTCAAGAAGTGCAGAGAATAAGGAGAGTGTGTAAGGCATACAGGACCATAAAGATGACTAAAACAAAAATCAGATTCCTTCTGTAACGGCCGCGTCTATGTACAAATATAACTAAGCGACGCGGAGCTACACAAACAATTTGAGAAATATTTTTGGTGATACAACAACAACAACAACAACAACAACAACAACAACAACAACAACAACAACAACAAACAAACAAACAAACAGAAAATTTTCTGTAACTATTTTAACGAACTAATCTGCTTTTCCTTTTTATTTTGATTTATTTTATTTATAATTATAATATTATTCTAAGCAAATAATGAAAAACAAATATATTAAAATATTAATGCTTTGCATTTTAGTATTTTTATGAATCAAAATATACATATATGTATGTTTAAGCCAGTTTCTTTAAGGGTAAAGCCACTCTGGATTTTGGAAAACGCAATTAAAAAATATTTTAAATTGCTGAACTTTTTATTTTGCTTTTGCTGCAGCCCCTCAGGGCATGCGTTGAGTAGAATGAACACCTTAAACGCATTTGTCTCAAAATCATATTTTACAAACTGGAAGGACAGATTTTTCGGACCCCATTGCATCGATTTATTTGAAACTTTGATTGTAGCTACACTTTTTTCGGATGTACGTAGCCGTTTTTCGATTAAATGTAAACATTTTTTTTAATAATGCAATACGTTTTTTTTGTCAAAAATCAATATTTAAAAAAAAAAAAAAAAAAAAAAAATGTGTCACTTTCACAAGACCATAGTTTGTAGATCATAAAACTTTTTGCTTTTCTGATCTAGGTCTCATCCTTTAGAAGAAACCGGTCCTCCCGTAAACGCCTTTCAAAAAAACATAGATTAAATATGGACTTGAAAATGGCGGTGATCCATTTTGTGACAAAACAATAATTAAAGAATATTTTTTTTTTATTCTTTAATATATGTATGTACGTTCAATGATTTTGTTTAAACCTTTTTGAGACTGTCGTTTGACATACATATATCATTTACGCCAATAAAATTGTAAAATTTCGCAATAAAATATATGAAATTGAATGTCCATTAGTGCTTATTTCTATGTATTTTTGTACAGAAAAGGTTTTTAAAAAAAAAATATTGAAATCTTTAACACATATTCACATATCCTTGCTTAGCTTTTTAGAAATGGCCTGTTTTCCAATGTAACGTTGCTTCATATTAAAAAAAAACTATAATTTGATACATTTATGTATGTATGTATGCAATTCTTGACTCTTTTCCTGTTCGTAAATCAGTTATCAGCAATATGTACCTACGTACATACATATGCATATATTTATGATGTTTATAGTGAATCAGATTCCAATATATATGTATGTATGTTAAATATTTTATTTTCCAACAAAAAGAGAGATTAATTTATGTATTATTGATATGAAGTTCTTTCAGCGCAGCTAAATCTTCTCTTTTCCTTAAGAATAAAAGTTGACATTATACATTTACATACAAAGCAAAAAAGATGTAAATTAACTGCAAAAATAGATACATGTACATATATATTTGTATGTTTGGGTTTACGTTCATACACAGAAATAGAAACCCCATTCCACTACTCCAGAAACATCTTAATCAATATTTTTAAGCAAAGCAAAAAAAAAAAATAAATAATACAGGAACGAATATGAAGCTCAAGTTTTTTAATTGTTCGCCCATCTGCTGTTACTGTAACGTCAAAGTTCCGATTAAGCTTCAAATATGCCAAAAGAAAAGATCTACTCCTTCTTTAGCATTAATTAAAAATTATATTGGACAGTTGAGCGAAACAACGGCTAACTAGCGTTATGGCCAGCCAAGAAACACTTGCAAAGTTTTGACAATTAACTTGTCACAAACCGTTATGCAAGTTTTAAATAATGAAAGTTCCTTGGCAAGGTCAAAATAATTGAGACATCTCCATATGAATGAGCTTTAAAGAGCTTGCGAAAAATAAAGCTTCTTGGAACTGTTAAAAGCTTTACTTCTGTTTCGCCTGTTTTTTTTTCACACAAGCAGGGTTCACATAAGTTTGTTAGCAAAAGCAACAAGGGTTTGTATCCAAGCTAAATTTGAGTTTATACATTGTATAAGGACTTTTCATATATTTTACAGGAGCACAAAATCTTTACTGTATCTGAAAATTGGAAAAAATGATAAAATAACTCTTATAATAACGATTAGTCGTAAGTTAGTATACTAAATTTTGTATAAAAAATTAATTTTAATACATTTTAATTCCTTAAAGATTAAATAAGTCAAAAATTTTGTCTGACCATCTCTACCTTTCTTCAGCAATGATATGGAGAAAGGATTCATTTGATGATGTGAAATTTTACCGTCGAAGCTGTGTAGTTAGGACCTTTTCGAAGTGCTATCATATTGTACGTATGTTTCAAATAAAAAATAGAATGAAATAAAATCTACAAAAATCTTTTACCATTTTTAAGTGCAACAGTTGCAACGAGAATCGACTAAATTTGATTATACGCAATGTGGAACCATTGAATTGCAGCAGACCATATTTGGCGACTTATATAGTAAAGATTTTACTTCAAAACTTTCCAATGACTTAAATATTAAGTGATCCAAGTTAGTAGACATTTTGACGTACTCAACTGTCCCCGAAATTTGGCAAATGACAAGATATTTACTGATATTCCCCGACAGATTGTTACTGCATATATATATATATAATCGTTTCTTAAAAACTAATGCAATACATTCAAAATTAATATCAGCTCTGTATTTTGTGTTCATATTCAATCAAACTTAATTTTTTTGACTTATTTAATATTGAAATAAAAATATTTTAGTGATACGATTATAGTTTTTCGCCGAAAGTAAATCAAAGAAAAAAATTCTATCATTTTTGGTATACATTAAATCTAATATCAAAATTTATCAATATTTGATAACTTATATTTTAGGCTTATTATTTTTTGACCATTGCAATGTCAACTATACATTTCCATCTCTCAATTGTTCAGATTCGGATATCATACAAGCAAGGTCCTGTATTTATACTTTTGAATTTTAAATAGATACATAATTTAATTTTAATGTTAATGTCACATGCCACTGATCTGGTTAGACCAACCGTTATTTTTTTTATATAACTTTTAAATAAGTACAAATTCAGTCATGACGGCCGATTTATTATATTATACTCAATAAATTCAATAGAATCCTGCAAGATTTTAAATACGGTCATTTGTCTTTTTTATTAATTTCTTTTTAGGAAAGTATTTTACGCTCATATTTAAAAGTCAGTTGATTTTAAAACTAATAAATAAAAAAAAACCTTTGAAAACATTTCTAAATAACACTCACCTGCAACTCAGATTCGGTAACATCTATTTCGCCACGATAAACAAAATCAATAATGGTCTTCAAGTCTGTGAATATTATATCGCCAGGTAGTATTATGGTTGGATGCTTACAAGGATTTTCTAAGAGCAGCTTTTGAAAATATGAAGAGCACGCAGATAAGACAACCTGTTTCAAAAAAAAATATATAATTAATTAATATAATACCAACAAGTATAATCTGAAAGCAGTTATGTGAGAGGCTTTCTTCGGCTTTTTCAATGAAACGTTTAAATGGCCTCTTACATAAAATATTCTCGTTTACAATTACCTTATGTGCTTTTAGCGAACCGTGTTCACATGAAAGAGTTACGTCTACAAAGGACAAATCCTCCCGTAACTGCTGAAACACCGATGTCATGGTGTTTTGGTAGTTGTTCCAACGCAAACTAAAATACTGGTGACTTCTGGACGCCATCTTGAAGGTAACACTTGACACTTGATGTCGCTAATCCAGTTTCAGTTTTGTGTTTAAAATTTTTTATAGTCTGTAATTACAAGGAATGATAAACACAAATCTCAATTAGATTTTTGATATTGATTCTATAAGACTTTGTCTACTGTGTAGCTTAGAACTTTGTGGGATAAATCGCCACTTCGGTTAACGATTAATCTTATCTTTATATTTTACAAGATATCGAAACCTCCAAAAAATACTATATGCAAAAGGCAACGCGCCAATTTACCTAACCCTCCCCCTTTTTCCCATTGTTAGCTTTTTGACAAAATTTAGAACCCACAGCCGAATATCCGATTGTCACAATATACAATGTCTACCATTTTTGTGGTTTGTTTTGTTTCAAGAATAGTAAATGCAGAAAAGTGTAAGATTTTTTTTAAATTTCCAAACTTATTGGAGTAAATGTAAACAAATATAAGGCAAAGAAAGTGTATATGTGAATGTGAATGCATGAATATGTTCCCCTAATGTTATGCGTGATATGTTATGATAAAGTAATCACATTTCTTTTCATTCGCCAACATTTGTTTCAGAATACTTAAAATAAATGTATTCAAGCCGGTTCCAAATTACAAACATGCCACTTGCCTTATGCCGATTCTTGATATTTATCAATTTCCTCTACTCCCTTTTATTCTGCCTCCGCTTACAAGCAATTAGCAATACCTAGACGTATTCACTGTTCAACTACACTGCCAACTGTTACGTCGCTGCAATCGAGGGTTGTCTTTTTGCATAATTTTCTTTGAGCCACGGGATGCAGAATTGGTGCCGATTGACTTTGCCGCTGTGTGCAATGCATCCAAATTTTTCTACTAAAAATAGCTACGACGTTTTAACTGCCAATCAAAAAATATAATCCCAAATACATATATTATTCTTGTTTGTAGAGCCAAAACTTTTGAACAATTCTTAACCTCCAGCTTAGTTTGACGACCACTACTTTTTTTTAAAATGAAAAGTCTTCCAATGTTTTGCACTTTGTACGAATATGTGTGAGGTCTCGACGTTTTTTTCTCCGCAGAAAATCTTTCTTTAAAGCATTCGCATTATTATTTGTTCACCGTTTTAACACTTGTTGTTGTTTCTGCGTACTCTTGAGTTTTTAACAAAGTTTTCTAAATTTTCCAGCTTCTTTTTCAACTTTTTCAGTCGTGCAACGCAATGCTAGACACGAAGGAATTCGCTGCCAAAGAGGAATTCGGAATAATTAGAAAATGGATTTTTCACGTCGTTTGTTCGTTCGTCGTTCGCCCGCCATTAAGGCGCTGCCGGACAATATAAATAAAAACGCATTCAATTTTTATTTTAGGCAGAATACTAGAGTTAACTTAATACTGAAATTACATGTTTATTGCATTTTTTACAGCACAACCAGCAATGAAACATATCTCTAGAAACATAATTTAATTTAACATATTTACAATTATCTACTTAAAAAGATAAAAAAATTACAAGCTAGCTGCGAGTCAAGAAATCGAAAAAGTGGTGTGAAGAAGTTCCTAAAAATCTCCAATGCACATTGAATTCGTCACTTCATAATTAGCTCTTACATAAGAATCTGGCAGCTTTTGGCGTCATTCATCGCCATATCACAGTCGTTTTCGTATAGTATTCGTTCGTATGTTCGCTCGTCTATAGTCGCCATTTTCAACTTATACTTCATTCTATAACTATCCTCTTCTCACGCATTTGCTTTCCCCCTAAACACGAAAAATATTGATTTTCACGTTTCTTGTTCCACTTTTACTCCTCGTCTTCTTGTTACTATATTCATCACACAGTATTTTCAATTTTGCGAGCTCTTTTTCTCCATAACTACTCGATAGTTTATTAAAAATTCACACTCGATTCGTATCATCCCGTCTTCCTCTTTACACATATACACTCACTCTGACACTCTTCTCTCTACCACCATTTTCGGACTTTTATAATTCTTTATTATGACTTTGCTACTTTGTCCACCCGCCTTCCACATTTGCGTTTTTGTTATTTTCCCTTTTTTATTATTATTTTTTGCTTTTCTTAGAGATTTACCTCCTAATTCACGTTTCTTACACCTTCCACTTTTAATTGAACAAGTCTAATGAAGTATTGTTTTGACACCTAGGCGGTGAGCTCCTTGATTTCCGTCATATTACACTGATACTCCAAACAAATATTTTACCATTAAAATCAAATTAAAAATATTTATTACACCAGAACAACCGCGAAGAATAATGAATCAACGCTTTATTCAGGAAAGAGTGCAGTCACTTCTATTACTGAAGTTTCATTCAAAATATTTTTACCTCCAAATGTTATAATTTATTAGTTTACTCGACGAAAGAGGTGATAATGTGATTTGGAGTTTAGCCTTCATTAAATGTTATTGGCTTGTTTTTTTTTTACTCTTCATATGGCAATTCTCTAACGGCAACAGGGTTGCAAATTTTGGCAAGTATACTCTAATTTTTTATTTTTGAAATTATGTATTTACCATTTCTATACAATCAAATTTTATCGCGGAATGTCTTTACCTATTTCCGTTCTCCATTAATAATTATAATTTAAATTATTTATTGCAAAGCAATGTCAATTTTCCCGAAAATATTTAATTTCTCTGCTTTACGAACAAATTTTATTTTAGCTTGAATTAATTCTATTATTACTTAATATAAATCTTATGATTAAAACATATAGTGAGAACTACATAAATTTATTTTCCGAGCAGCAACTTTTCTTTTTCCTTTTCTGCGCATTTCCTGAAATCTTCCAATGTTTTGTTGAAATGTTTATCCATTCGCGCTTTAACAGCAACACTAAATACATTTATAAATTCTTGCACCTAAAAAGAATATGTATTAATATCGTTTTATGTACTACTCTCGCTAATATCGTACCGTCAAATCTGCCTCCTTTCGTCCGTACTTCACAAAATTGCATTGCGGCGCATGCTTGGCATGCTCCTTCCAAGGATCGTCCGTTGGTTCCCATCCGTCGAGAGTTTTATTACAAACAAAGCAAGTAACTGTATCTGGCTCACGCTCATTGCCGCTCCAATAGAATCCCGCCTCGGCCATCTTCATTTTGAATAAAGTAATAAAATAATTCTATAACTAATCACCATTATTTTCCATTTGCTATTACCTTTTTCACACTACAAGCCTTCTTATCGTCAAACGGCCATTTTTTAAAGCTTTCAATGCGATTTTTTTCCATCATATTACCAAATTTCGAATAGTCCATTATACGCAATTAATTTATTTGGCGATTTATTTGCAATATGTATTTGATGCTATTAAATTCTTATGATGTTTTCAAACATTTCAACTGCTGTCTATATGACATTTACGTATTTCATAGCAACGAGCTTTGTGTGGTGAGCAGGTCGATATATTTTTGAATCTACTATCATAATAGCGATTGTTTTAAAAGAAACGATCTTCATAAAGGTGCGTACATAGAGGGGTTGATGTGAATACGACGATATAACCACCTCTCCGAGGAGTATCTAAGAGCAAAGATAAATAGTTTTCTTTAAATGGAAAACGGGTATCATATATTAATAGATATTTTTAATAAATGATTTAATAATTGTTCATAAATACTGATTCCGTCGATAGAGCCGACTCTAAGTGAAAATACTGACTTTAACAAACAATGATATAAATAAATACCACATTGAGTCAGAGCCGGCAGGCAGGAAATATATCCCATAAATATACTGAATATAACTAACATTAAATAAATTTCATAAAGTTAGCAATAGTTTGTTTTTAATTTTTAGTAAAAGTCGTTAAAGCCGACTCTAAGTGAAAAGACTTACTCTAACAAACAATGATTAGAATAAAAACCACATTGGATTCGAGACGGATTAAAAAGATCTTAGAGATAGTTTTAACTTGACTATGAATATATTCCATAAATAATAATAATACGACTGAACAATTAGTAAATTGCAAACAAATCGTATCGATAGTGAACGATGTGAATCGATTTTAAATAACGATTATTAAATAAAAATTAAAAAATTTCTCTCGATAACTAAGGGGATAGCTTAATGTTTAACTAGTTAATTTTTTTTAACAAATCTGAGTTTTGGTAATAATTATGGATTTAGATAACACACAACTGCATCCTAACTGGCGTGCACTGGCTACAGTGGACTTTCCACGAAAACGATTTGTACGTGGTATAGAGCTGCAAAGCAAGCAAGAAACCAAATATGTTACACATAATAATTTGCAAGAGGAGCAAAATGGTGAAGCAGCAAAAAATTTTTACCAGAACTTAACTAAAAATTCTATATCGCGCAGTCGTCTTCCATGCCAAACGGCTACTCCAAAACAACGTTATTTACAGAAATTTGATTGTAATAAATTCTTTCGGCTCGCTACCATGAATAAGTGTAATGAATTAGCACTCATTGATTACCAGGGTGACGATATAAACATGCGGGATACATTTGGTTGGACAGCACTTATGATGGCTGCTTGTGAGGGAGCATTAGATGCGGTGAAAACTCTAATTCATTTGGGCGCTGATAAAAACTTAAAAGAAAGCACTGGCAGAACGGCCTTAGATTTTGCAATGACAAAGGGCTTTAATCACATTGCAAATATTTTGCGAACAACATGCTCCACGCCGAGTGCTGAACAGAAGCTTATATGCGAAAACGTTTCAAATGAGACTTTCTATTGCACAACTTGCGAGCAAACTTTAACAAATACAAACAAACTACAGCATGAAACATCTACAGTTCATCAATTTAACTGCAAACCGAGTTTTGAAAACAAATTGCAAAAATTTAACATTTCCACAAAAAATCGGGGCTTACAGCTGATGGTAAAACAAGGTTGGGATAAAGAAAGCGGCTTAGGACCAACACAGACTGGACGCTTGTATCCCGTTAAAACTGTGATACGAAAGAAACGCACTGGCCTTGGTACAAAGCAAGAGCCAGCACGTGTTACACATTTTGGTGCATATGACAAACAAGCCATAAAGCATAACGAGTCGAGCGTTTTGCCAAACAAGAAAAAAAGATCCCGCTCTGACATACGTTCAGAAAAGCAACGAGAGTGGAAACGCGAACGCCGACTTCGGAAAGAATTGAGCTAATGCATCATATATGCTCAGTTTGGATGCAGTTGTTCCCACTGAACATCTATCATTAAAATAGTCTTTCGGAAAATCATATCTACATATGTATGTACATATATTTTATAGTCGTTAAAGCAGAAAAATGTCTAAAACCGATGAAGAAAAAACTGTTGAAATTATAAAATCAACAGAAGAGGTAGCCGACAAGATACTCATGAACAAACAAGAGTTGGTGGAGCTGGATAAGCGAAGGCAACAAACTCGTGAAGCAATACGGGAGCTTGAAAAGAATGCGGATAAGGTCGAAAAGAAAGTTTGGATTACGATAGGCAGCATGCTGGTAAAGTTAGAAAGAGAAAAAGCACTGAAGTTACTGAAAAATGGTGAGTATTTAATGTACATTTTCGGCTTGTATATAGAGTTTAATGTAAATAATTTAAAATATTTTTATTATTAATGTAGATCAAAAACAAATCGAACGAGAAATAAATATTATCAGCTCAGATCAAAAGATATTGGTCAACAAACATCGAGATTTAGAGCATTTTTCACCTTACTCAGGCACACAACTGAAAGCGCTCAATCGAAAAGAATTCGCGGCACTAAAAGCTAATCTCCCACTTTTGTAACAAAACAAAATATAAGTAAAAATTAAATTCAAATTAATTAAATAAAAAAAAAATAGTAAGAGATACTTTTGAATTAATAAAAAAAAACATATTTTAATTTCTCACACAGATTTTTAATACTTAAATTTATGCCTACCGTAATTGTTAAATAAAATGCTATATTTAATTGCATTAAATTGTGAAATAGAATATTAATTATATAATTCAGTCCACATGGTTAGATCTTAACAGCCACCACTATCCAAAAGACGCCTCACTAGAATTTACATGCTCTTTGGATTCCTGGAAATATGAAATTGTAAGCATTTGTGTTTCGTTCGTAATGTGTTCTTACATACAAATGAGTTATTATAGAGCTCCAGTTTGCGGTTTCTATATTCTGCAATCAACTTCAACGCCTCACTTGGTTCAACGTCTAATTTTTCACTTTTGAAGTGAAGTTCAATTTTTGGAGTTGGGTTAGCAGCTGTGCCACCAATTACAACAATAATCGGATATCCCATTCTACGTTAAAAATTGTGGCGATTACACATACATATATATATATATATACATAAGTGTTAAGGTCTTAAAATATGTGCCTCACCTTTTCGAGTCAAGTAGCCGTTTACCTATTGTTAAATAGCTGCGATCATCAATTAGAATGTCTTCCTCTTTACAAACTCCACCAAGCGAAGAGCAAAAGTCATTTTGCACTCTGTTTGCAGCTTGCTCTTCTCTACTTCCTTGTTTTGCCCCTATTACGCACACATCGAAAGGTGCTAAAAGTGTGGGCCAACGTAGTTCATTTTCACTAGCGAGTACTTCTACTGCCGCTGCCATTAGTCTGCTAATGCCAATGCCATAACAACCCATAACGAGATATTCGGGTTTACCATTCTCCTTCAGATACATTGCTTTTAGCGGTTTGGAATATTTGTCATTTAGCAAGAACGTATGCCCCACTTCTATACCGGGCACACGACGGAGGCTAGAGGAATTGCAGTGTGAACAGGCTTTATCACTACTCTCTTCAACCGTTTCGACGTTGGCTGCATACCCACATGAATCACATGAAAGTAGCTGATCTTCTCCAATGGGAGCTATGAAATGATATTCGTGTGATAGGCTGCCACCCATCATGCCGGATGCCGCCTCAACTGGAATTTTTTTTATGAATATATAAGTAAAATAACTTTCTTTTTAATTACTTTTATACCTTTAACAAATGGAACTTCCAGTTGCCGAAATAACGCATCATATGCAGAATTTACTTGAGTGTATGTCTGTAACGCTGTGGCTGTGTCTCGATCAAATGTATACAGATCCTTCATAGTAAATTCCTTAGACCTAATAAGACCAAAGCGTGGTTTTAATTCGTCTCGAAATTTCGGACCAATTTGAAATAGTCGCAACGGTAACTGCTTATAAGAGATCGGCGCAGAAGATCCCAACATCGCTGTAACTGCTTCCTCGTGGGTCTATAAAAATTAAAGACTTTAATTCAAATAGCTAATAAATAATATAACAAAATTCACTAATACGCACTGGGCTCAAAATGAATTCTTTCGCGTGTCTATCACGGAGAAGATAGAATTCTGTTATATCACCATCTAATCTTCCCGTCTTTTTCCATAGCTCCGATGGTGTTAGGATCGGCATGGATATTTGTTGGCCACCTACATTGCGCATTTGTCGACGAACTAGATCAACACATTTATCTAAAACGCGCTGGGCCAGAGGCATTATTTGAAAAGTGCCATTATATGCCGGCTTTATTAAACCTAGTTCTGTTAAAAGCTGAAATGATTAATCAGATTTATATCACCTCATAGGATAAATGAAAAAGTTAATTACCTTCTGGCTTCGGGACGTTGCATCCAAGGTTTTTACAACAGCATTTTTGGGTGTCACAAGAATTGGCCAATACAATCTCGAGAGTCTTTCCATATTTGCTGTTGCATGCTCAAGAAATTTGTAAATTTATTGAAATCAGCTGTTCTTAAGCACAGGGTGGTAAAAATAAAAAGGGTCAATTCCAATTTGTAGGAAAGTTGGACAAGTTGCATGCTGAGTTTTATGAGTGAGGGCTGATGACAGTTTTGAAAAGCTGGTTAGCTTTTTAACTAAAGAACGCGGTAGCATGTATATAACCATATTAATGAGAGTGAGACACCTACATTTGTTCCGACCTTATGGAAATACCTTTTCTTTTAGATTGTGTTACAGAATCGCAGAGATTCATTGATGTTGTTGTTGAAACAAAAAAATTACGGTTGGACCTGACTGTCGTGGGAGTTATTGGATTTTCGTCGTCCCTTACGACAGGCGTGACTAAGGTTACCTGTAGACCTAAACGGGGTTAGGTCGCCGAAAGGGTGACAGCCCTTGGCCGGATAAAATCCGGGTCAACTCCGGGTGCGTAGAACCGGCTGACTGCTCGAGCTGCCTCGAGAGACCCGCGTGACCCTGACACAACTCAGGTCTGGATATTGTAGCAGGTTAAACTCCTACCTATCCAGACTAGACCCCAGCATACCTAACGTATGCCCGGCATGTGGAGAGTCCCCGCACGACACTAACCACCTCTTCACATGCCCCCTCAAACCTACTCATCTAACCCCCCTCTCCCTTTGGTCCAACCCCGTTGAAACAGCTCGTTTCCTGGGCCTACCATTAGATGACCTCGGCGACTTAGACTAATTAAGCCTGTGCCTAAGCGGGGTTAGCGAACCGCTACAACAACAACACAGGCGTGACTAATGAGTATAGTAAAATGAACTCCTATGCCGCTAAAGCGCGAGTCATCGGTTACCCACAGCACATGAGTAGCTGGCGCAATCTCGTGAGATCCGAGTATTACTGGCACAACTAAGGTATGAATATTATAGAAGATTAAACTCCTACTTTTCTAGACTCGACCCCGACATGCTCAACGTATGCATATCCTTCATGCCACTAAAAAATCCTACTCATCTAACACACCCCCTTGAGCCAAGCGAAGGTTTTTTCGAAGTGATTTTCTTATATATCGAACCGCTTGAACCATGAGTCAAAATGCTTTTGTACCCATTTCAATGAACCCGAGCTGTAAATCACAAATAAGAAAACATAGCGTAAGCACAGCAGGTATGGTAGATTGTTGGTTGCCTAATAAAACTCACCACTAACCAACACTACGTAGATACTTTAGCTAAGCTCATGATTTTTGTGAGCGTACTTTGTGCTTTTTGTCATATCACTTAACCAACTACGGCGGCATGTTTGTACCTATGAACACATAAGTACTTATGTATGTACGCTCTACTGCTGCTCTCCACCAGTTTGTCTGAGATCGACAAGTTTCTTTGAATCTTTTGCTATTTGCAAATACTTCCTCGTTGCTTTCAAGAAGAGTGAGGCGGCTAGTACTTACTTATTGGCGCTCGCCATCGTGGCGCAACTTGATTCATTCCGATTTGCCAAGCAGCGAGGTGAATTAGTTTTTTCAGTTACAATCGAAATGAGCGCGTTCGCGGTTGTAATCACAGTGTTGTGGTCATCGCCTTTGTCGTCAAAACTTTGGCTATCACACTAGATGTTGTTTTACTTGAAAACTATTTCGTTGTTGTAAACTTTTGCGCGTTCGTTTCTAATTGGATACATACATATGTATATATATACGTATGCATAAACATATGTATGTATGTATGAGCTCGTCCCAATTGCAAAGTACTGCATATTTACGCTTTAAATTACATTTATTTAACCGTGAGCACCTAATCATCGTGGTATTGTATTCGTACGTTGAGCATACGGACTCTAGGAGTGACCCCAAGGCACACGACGACATCGATTTTCATTAACGCGCATTTTTTTTTGCCAGCGTACGCAGATTCGCCAGCAGAGGAAGTGGAAATACACAAAGTCAAAATTAATACAAGATGTTTTTGTTTTGTTTCTTAGATGCGAAGTGTATGAAGGTTACGCAAAAGTGGATAGAATTGAGCTCGAAATAAAGTTGTGCGTGTCTGTAAAGAATGTCTCGATAGACAGAGAGAGAGAGAGAGGTGTTTTTCGTTTGGGGCAAGTAGGCGAAGTGGGGAGGAACAGCACGAAAGTGTACACAAAAGTAACGTGCTCTGTGCTCGTGGTGAATACTCTTTACGAGATTGTGGTACAATATTTTCGAAACTCTCTCGCGGTGAATAATGCGGTTTCGTTGAAAACAGCAATAAAAAAAAATTGATTGTGTTATAACAGCGCAACAACAAAACAAGTACTGCATGCAATTATTATCATGTTGATATGCCATAACCGCAGGGGGTGGTGGTAAATGAAAAAGTCACGAAAAAGAGCGCGAGTATCTTATCGTGTTCACTTGCTGCTAGCTGCGCTGCTAATACCGGCTCGCGAGTGTAGCTGCATATTCTTTTCATTTCTGTTTTGGTGCAAACGTACATATAATTTTTAATGAAATAACGAGATACTTTTTAGCAACAAAAACTATGCATACGGATGCATATTAACGATTAAATAACAAAAAAAAATTAAAAATAAAAACACAACAAAGTTTTGGTTCTTTTTAACAAAAATTTAAATCAATAAGGATGATAAGGCGAAAGAAATTGATTAATGTTTGAGGTAAAAAGCATTAAAAAGTGTTTTTTGAAATCACTACACTTCATAAATACATATATAATATTTACGAAGTGAAAACAAATTATCGAAAAAGGTGATATTTATTACAACAAAAAATAATTAACCACTCTGGCGTACTAAAATTTACTAGTCGCAGCTCCATCATTATTCGACATTTCCTACGCTGAATCTGAAGGTGAGTTGCGAGCGATCGATTTTTAAAATAAAAGTAAATAAGTGATAATTATTAAGTCGTTGATGAGATGCTTGGAGAGCTTTGAATTTGTATACTTACGACCGTAAGACAAGTATAAGACTTTTGATATATGTACATTTGTATATGCACACATATAAATTTGGCGCAGAATCGATTTTCGGCCGAGCTGCTCTTTCAACTTGTTAAAATCAAGGCTCTACAGTTTATACTAAGCCCCGTTCGAACGGTCGATTGTTTTTTTATGAGAAGCCTTTTTTTCATACCTTACGTGTAAATACAGAGGGGTTGATATTAACTGCCGAGGACCGCAATTAAAAAAAATTGACTTAATCTTTTATTTAATTAAATGATTTACGATCCCTGTACTCCAAGAAAGGGGAGTTATGGATCATCCTCTCCGAATTATTTATGACATTTGTGACATATAAAGATGTGCAAGTTAGGCTCTGGATTTGTGGAACAACGTCTCGCCACGGTCCACATCGAAGTGAAATTTTTCAATTTATCGCAGATCTGTGCTCACGTCCCGAAGGAAGAAAATCAAGAGACGCTGGACGCGCGTTTGGCGATTTTAACGCCTTTTTTGATAAAATGGACGGGAATATTCAGTTTCCCAGCAGATGCATCTTTCAATTGTAAACTATAAAATCACATTCAAAAAAAGAAAGTTGGTTAACTCAGTTCTGCCTGTCGGTAAGAAAGACTGAAACATTATTGGTATCGGTGGGATGCTGGTTCCTGGATAAACGAATTGTCTGCAACTTCAAAGATGTGACCATTTGGAAGTCCAAGTCCGCGTGAGCTAACTGTATGTTCGACTTCCTGTCCTCCAGACTAGAGCAGTGTTACCGTCATGCACTCAGTATGATGCGGTTATCGGTTCTCAGATTGGTCCCTCCTCAATGCGCTAAGTCACCCACAGTAGAAGTCGACAATTTATCGCAACTACAAAGTAGTTTTTGCCTTGAAAAAAGAAAAAAATGAAACTTTTTTTAAACTTCTTCATTGATTTACTCTGTAAAATTCTTGAGTTGGACTAAAAAAGGCTATTTTCTACGAAGTGCATTTATGAACTTACTATCTCTATACAAATATATGTATGTATACGGATAAAAATATTTACTTGCATACGTACATACATATGTACCATGTGTCAATATGTGAACGACGAGTATGAACCAGTTCACCTGCTACGTATTGCCGCTTAGATGCTCACAAGTGATTTAGAAACTGGCTTAAACGTGCATGAAATTGTTAAATCAACACCCAACAACAACCACTTAACGTTAAACTACACTTACTAAATATGTATGTATGTGATATGTACAAATGTACATATGTATGCATCATAGTGAACAACAACAGAAATGTCATTATACTGACTTATTGACGGAGAAGCATATTTTTTTGTACTCGCTTAACAGAAAAATCAAATAAAAATCAATTTAATGGAAGCGATGTTCAATCGGCCAACAACACCAAAGAATAAAGCATGACAAAAAAAAAGAGAAATATTTAACAACAAGTGGGTCTATTGGCAATTGCTTTCGCAAATAGCTACTTGAGAACTTTAATTCAGAAGTGGAATAATACAGCCAGAGTTTTCTGGTACAGCGTGGTGTTCGCGCATGCTCAGAACGTCATATGAATTAAGATTATGTGGCGAAGCAGGCTGGCAACGGAGAGAGGATGAGTGCTCAAGGTAAGAATACACCGTAAAAGATTGTGGGTGTTGGAACCAACACAACTGTCGTGCAATCTTAGGTTAGAAGTGGGACTTTGGATCCTTAGGATATGCTAGGCTTATATAGAAACACGAACCGGCTCTTCAATTGATCGAAGTTAGAGTGGAAGTTGAGCAGCTATTGTTTCCATATCAGAAGTATGCTCAGTGGGCTTCACATTTCCCAACGAAGGGCCGGCGCACTTATTAAGCCCTTTGTCACTTTATAATTTCCCACAATAATATAATTTCGGATATTAATCCTGCCAGGACACGAGCGAAGTATCAGCTCACATAGTAAAAGCCATAAAGACAAAAAATATGATATTTGATAAGATAAATTGAAAAATACTGATAAACATGTACTATTTAGTATATGTACATGCGTATGTTTGAATAGGTTATACCAACTGATCATTTTGACGCTTTGCCTAACCTTGCCAAAGTTCAAACACCTTATAGTATGAGCCACTTGTTTAGTGAACCGGCTGCAGACACGTATGTACTGCATACAGTTGCGTATACGTAAATAGCAGTACTGTTATTTTCTGTTAAAAAATTATTATGTGTCAACCATTTCATTAGAACTGCAGCACAACGACGATGTATTGAGTCTATCAAATGTTGGCGTCCTTCCGTGGTGGCGGCCTTCCGGGCTTTTTGAAGTAATTCCCAAAGTTTATATAGTTCTATATGTAGTTTCCCGCAATGGACAGGGTTTTTTCTGTCCCCTCCAAGATGTTCTGTTAGTCTTTTCGGCGGGACAGTCAAAAAATGTGTTTGCATAGGAATTTGTGTAGCGCAGTTGTTGAGGCTGGACAGTGACAGCGATAGTGTCCAAAAGACTCTTAAACAGTGGTACATCTGTATCGACTGCATGCTTTATTGTAGCTGAAAGAGTTCCTCCTCTCTATGGCTCGAGAGTTTGTTCAATTGATTGCCTTAATACCGTAAATTTTAGCAGCCATAAGGCCGCTGTCAGGATGGCAGTAAGTTCTGTTTGGAAGACAATGCAATAATCTGATAGTCTGAAGCTCATTTTAATTAAGAGCGTCGAAGATTGTTATACCCAACTGATCTATGAAGTTTGCGTATGATGCTTGTATGTATATATTCTCCAAATCGTTCTTATTTGAGTTTCCTGTGGAGAAGAGATTGTCGAAACAGGTAAAGATAATGGCGAAATCATGCCCTCTACTGCAATTCCTTCAAGGTGTAGTTGGGTTCAATCTAAATGCGTTAAAGTTCGCTCGGAGCTTACCGCAGGGTTCTAGAGGTATGAAATTTAGGAGAGCTTCCGGGACTTTTGAGTTAATCGAATTTGAAACGTCATGTTTTACGGTTTCAACGCTGTACTCTGGATAGCATGCAGTTTCAGGGAGCAGTGGAACATACGCCTTAGAGTCAATAAACAATTAAACTTGTCAGTTCACAAATGTTGTATTATTTTTTGCAGAAAAGTTCAAACTGCTAGATTTACATCAGTTCTTTACCTACCTGAACTGGCTTTGGCATTATAACCTCATATTCACAAAAAAAAATATTCACATTGAAAATCCATGAAAGCGGAGTAGTATATCGTATGTATAGTAGACCTGCGGGCTAGCGGTAAGGCATGCCTGTCGCAAGAGGCGATTAAAATCCAATAGTTCACGCGACATTTGAGTCTTTATACCGGAACGAGCCGGATTTTTATCCGACCAAGGGAATATTTTTGCGGTTACAACAACAACATCGTTTGTATAGATCCCTTACAGCCGATTTGGTTAGATGGGAGAATTAGTATTTAAACCTAAAATGAAGTACCATTAATCTGATATGATTCTGAAAGGTTTAAATCCACCACAGGTGCTGATATTTTCTTGCTCACTACTGTACATATATGTTTGTACTTAATATGTTTAAGTGTTTAGTGGATGCTCTGCAGAGTGAATGTCATGGACAGACTAGAGATCAATATACATACATATATACATACGGATATACCTTCATATCAACATTTGTGAATGTACATTTCATTGTTGTTGGTGCACGAGTGCTGCAAGCACGTGGATTTTACATATTTTCCTCTTAAACTGTAAACCGTATAATGGGCTCTGCAGATTTGTACATACATAAGTACGAGTAAGTATGTTTGTAGTTGTTTTCAAAACCGTTAATTATATTTTAGATTTTTCTTCTTCTTCTTCTTTATTATTTTCCAAAATCACCAGCGTACGATTTAATGCTTGTATGTATGTATCTATGTATGTATGTTTGTAAGCTTTTGTTAGTTTGCGCACTAACTTCTTTGCGTAGTTCAGCATTCATCAGCAGCTCTTACAGGTGCCCACCAGTAGTTGCTCCAGCGTTTATCAAAGTAGCTCAAACCGGTGTAGATCAGATCAGTTAGCGAGTGCGATGCTGAGCGCTTACAAATAAATAATTTAATGCGAGATAATTTAAATGTTTGTCTTTTTCGGCTGGCAGCGGGTGAGAGTATTGTAAATAGTCAGCAGGTTATTCTGACAAATAAACCCAGATGTCCATATATATAAGTATGCACATACATACAATCGTATTTACCTATACACTTACGCTGTGTGATCAAATGTGTGTATGTGTGTTTGTAATTCACACTCACATAATCTATTATCTGGCGTGCCAAGTGATAAACTGAGAAGAGCAATTGTAGGCGCTGGACACATTTCGACCTCCACTGATGTGGCGCGTACAGGTTAGCAGCGGTGTCAACCGCCGATAGCCATCCAGCCGGGCAGCCGGGCAGCCATTGAGTCAACTAAATTTAATTTTTCGCTAAAAATCAGTGGTCTTTTGTCTGCTTTTGTGCTACAATTGCGTTTGTATGTATGTAACATTTGCTACAATACAATTTAATTTGTTTATATTTATGTTAATGTTCTTAGATCTCTTCTGGGTACTGTTATGTGCTGGAGGGGGTGGTGAGGTTGAGTTTCTCAAGTGATTTTTATTGCGTTTTTATGCTAATTTAGCCGTTATCTACAGTTTAAAAACTGAAAGAAATGAAATAACTTTGAGTTTTGTAGATATAATAGCGATAAACGCATTTCCGCTCGAGTAACTTCCGCTTTTCACAGTCCGTTGAGCTCGTAATATCGCCTCAACCCCTTTTGACAGTCATACAGTCCACCTTAGTGCAGTTAGTCTGGTTAGAGAGACTTTAAAGGCTGGGTAGTGCCTGTATTACTGGCTGCATGAGAACGTGCCCTGCAGAAGCCCTCGAAGCCCTACTTGA